TGCCTCGGGGTGCGACGGCCTTTTCAGAATTGGAAGAAACGCCTGCTGGAGGTGTGGCAGGGGGTGATGGGGGAGGTGGCGGTGGTGCAAGTGCAGCTTTCTTCGAGTTCAAGGAACCAACTTTAAGTTGAGGACCGTACTGTTTCAAAACACCAGCATTGTGATATTTCCAGAACTGTTTTGAGGCATTCTTCCCAGCGACTCGCTGCAAGACTATTTAATAGATGATTACCGTCAGCACAATCTAAACTACCAATACATATTTAAACTAAGGCACGGGTGGGGCAAGATGAAGACAAGTACAAATCATGACATACTCTTCTTCCCACCGGGGTGTTCATCTTGGAACTTGGTAAGATCGTAGACATCCTCATCAATGATGATCCAGAGGTTGTCCGGCGTGTTGTGAGCCGACACAGCGTCCGCCGAGAAACCTCCAGACATATTCTCAATACTCTATGTCGAATTTTTGAAATGGCAGTATAGTACATGAAAATTATGAAGTATAACGATAGGCAAAGACAAATGAATCCCCTAGAAAATGATAGGCACGAGGTGACTCGTCCTGAAGACAAAAAATGCAGGCGAAATCTTATATAATGCAATCCGTAAAGACAAAGCCCGGTTGTCCCTTTCTAGCTCGGAACCATAATAGCACTGGTCGGCTGCCGCATGCCATTTTCTCCTTCGCCTGTGCCGTTTTCGAATCGTTGATCCTCTCCAGGGCTGTTTCTCTCCCTTTCCTTGCTGACGGGGCCCATAACGCCGGGTTTCACATGTTAATCGGAGCTGCGTCCGGGCAGGTACCTCCCAGTCAGTGCATTTCCCCGCAACAGCCATGTACCCCGTCCTGTGTCACATGCCTCGTCCAGGTGCCCACCAGGCCCTCTGACTGTCTCGCTGTTGTTGTTGTAGGGGACGCAGCAATGTTCAGTAATGTTCGTTGGATGCGAAATCTTAAATCGTCTAGTTACTGCGTTAGTTATAGCTAGCAACAATTACTAGGACTAAGCGCCACTCCAAAAACTCTTCTGGCCTGCCCAAGCGTGGCGCGCATAGCTCCCATGACATCGTTTACAGCATTCAAGGATTGTTTCAAGGAGGCCGAGGTGCTGGCCCAGGAAAAGGTGCCCATGTGTAATATTAGACAAGACGAGAATATGGAGTTGGGGATGGAGCATCGACAGCCAAGGAAAATTTAGATCCGGGTATGAAGCGGATATGAGAAAGGGCTCGTTGAATACGTCGGATTTCGTTCACGAATTTCCGCCCCTATTTTGGTGGGGGAGGCGTGAGAGGTTCTAATCGAATTCATGAACTTGAAAAATAACAAACTCTACTCTATATTCTGTATGTGGATACTATATCACAGCAGAAATATATATGTAATATATATTTCAATGCATTCCACATGTGATACGAGGGCAGAAATAGATAGGTATTGAAAAATAACTCGAGATAGAAATACATGGGATATGGAAACGTCCAAAGGGGGGTAATTGATTGGCTATCAAAACCTTCCAACCCCAATGGAAACGGACGAAATGGGACAAGAGAAAGGAGCAAAAAAAGAGGCGGGGAAACTAAGGTAAGGTTTGTATCAGAATATCCAGGGGGGATGTGGGGGAGATAAGAGACTCCCAACCTCTTTTTGCTATTTCCCATTGGACCGTTCTAGCCAATCCGACAACAAGACAGACAATTATTATTACATAGGAGCGAGGTGAGGTCCACTCTCACCGTACGCAATCACATTAATCCTCCGCAGCATCAGAATAATAATCGAACTCGTTTGGCACCGGAGCTTCTTCAGCTCCCTCTTCATCCTCATCAACTGCGGTAAGAACCCCAGCCGCCGCTGCTGCTCCACCAAATGTACCGGCAACAGCAGGCTGCTCCAAGGCGCTCATAGCAGCATTGATTCGATCTTGAATCGTTTCTCCGGCTGCTGCCAGCTTCGTCTCCCTGCTGGCCCGGAGCTCGATGATCTCACGTGGTTCCGACGGCGTCTTATCCAGGACGACAACGACTCCACCGGTAGGCTAGGTTATTGGCACAGAGCGTCAGTAGATCTACTAATTGAAACAAAACCAAACAAATAAAATAAGCTATGGGCCATATTTGAAAAACTTACGCGCTTGACGGGCTCATATCGTGGGTCAGGGAAGGTTAAGAATTTCAGTTGTGCTGGGAGGACTCGAGACATATTCTCCAGCTCGTAGCCCACTTTCTCCTTCTCCGCTTTCCGCTTTGGCGCTTCCGTTGGGGTTTCCTCCTTCACACGATCGTTCCCTTCCTCTTCGGTCTTGACTTCGGTCTCATCGACATCCATCTTATCGAGATGTTGTGTCGATACCTTGGGAGTCGCAGGGGTTTGGTCGATATCCATGCTTTCCCGACGTTGCTGCTTTTCCCTCCGCTGCGCACGTCGTATGGCTTGAGCGGTGGTTGAAAGAACGGCGGTTTTGACTTTCTCGGGCGCTTCGTCTGCCTTAACCTGCTGTTCAGGGGGGTAATCAAAAAGGCTTGGTCGAGTATTGCTGTGGAACTTAAAAATAGGAACCTCCAGCCTCTGGTCGACTCCAATGACAGCGGTAGGAGTGAAACTCAAGGAAAGGAAATGCGAAAGCGGGAACCAGTACCAGTATTGTATGAAAACGGCCATTCCAATAATTCCAGGCATATTAAGGTTGCCGGTCTGTGTTTGTAGACTGATAGTGCAATTGCGCCCACCTGCATCGATGATTCCGAGGGCAAGTGCACAGCCGAATTTGGCCATAGCATCCTCGTGTCTGTCCGTGATCATCTTCTGCATTGTCTTGCGGATGATGCCGACTTTAGGGTTCATTGTCTCGTTTTGTTGAACAAGAACCATCGCCAAAGCAATTAGTGCGCCTTGTCGCACAAAGTCTGTTGGATCTTTTAACATTGGCTCCAGGAGATCCACTGCTTCATCCAATCCAGTTCCAGCGCAAGATATTCCAAGTGCCATAGTCGCACCGTAACGGACGTGTGGGTTGTAAGATTCAGAAAGAAGTTCCACTATACGGGGAACACTCTGGTGCTTTGCGGAAGAGATGAATCCAAGACTCAACACAGCTACTCTCCGTACGTCATCGCTAACATCACTGACAGCAACATGTAGGAGTCGTCTGACCGCCCTATTGCTACCTGTCCCGCAATAGGCAAGGGCAATAGCCATAATACCACCATATCGTAGTGTAGGATCGGGATCACCCAAGAGACCGTTGATCAATTCATCAGCAGCCTCTTGTCGCCCATACATGATAAGAGCCATTCCCATGGCAACCCCGCGGATAATCTTTTCATGTTGAGTATCGTGGGCATAACGGATCATGTCCTCCAGCGCCTTCATATTGCCAGTTCCAAGCATAACCAGTCCCATCGCAAGACCCACAGCTTCCCCATTAAGAGCAGAGTCGGTTTCCAAGACAGCTTTAAGATCATTGTAGATGCCCTCATCGCCGGTAGCCATTCCCGCAACGCCAAGACCCAGGGCACCCCCGTGCTGGACTACTTCTTCCGTTGCTTTAGTAAAATGTTCCCGAATCAAGTCAACGGCCCAGCCTTCGTGATTAGCATATATTAAGCCAAAGGCGTACAACGAACCACCTTGGCTGTAGACTGATCCAGAACCTCCGACTCCAGCAATATTGTCTTTGGGGAGGTATGGTGCCAAGAGTTTCTGTCCCTGGGTGAGGTTTCCGCGATGGATCACACCCAGAGCGGCTGTGGCCGTGAACTTCGACCAGTTAACGGCCTTTCCGAGCCATTCAAGGTTATCACGGAAGAACTTATCGTGTGTCGTTCCTGCATGCATGAATGCATTGCATAATGTGACGGCATTGTGGAATATCGAGTTGCGGGCCTCCAAACTGTCCTTTATCTTGTTGAGCACAGCAATGTCAGCTTTGTTATTTCGGTACAGGAATTCCAAATTCAGTTGGATGGAATTGACCCCATCGATGATATCGCCGATAGATTTCAACGCCGCCTGCGCATCCTCAGACAGCTTATACTTTTCCTCTCTGCTGCCTAATCTCCGACTGTTTGATGAATTGACTGTACCCTCCTGGTTCTGAAGTAGAGAATCGGTTTCCTTGGCTGCGCTGCCATCGTCTTCCGTATCTTGAGATTCACTCTCATTTGAAGCGGGAATAAGTTGGCTGATTTCTTGTCGGACTTTTCTCAAGAATTCCTGAGTGCTGTTGTCGTACAGGTCGAAGGAAATCTGATAGGCCACTGAAAGAGAACGCGGATCTCCTTTCTCAACGAGTTGACGCAGTATCTCTGATGCCATTGAATGCTCATTAAGATAGACAACGCATTTCGCGATAGAAAAGTAATCCGGAGAAGGTATTTCGTTTAACAGCTCAAGAATCAATTTGAGGATCTGGGAAATTTTATGCGTTAGTGGAGATGTTTTCTCGACCTCTTTCCATAGCGTGCCAACGTACTTCATTTCGGAAGGCCCTTTCCTGTACAACGCTCATACATATGTCCAAAACATATTCCTTAAGCTCTTCGCCACTTCGAGATGACTCCTCAGTTTTCTTCTCATCCTCACTTGCGCGCAAGATAGCAGCACGAAGGACGTCAAGATTCTTTGCTTCAACGGCAATTCCAACGACTTGGCGGTATCTTTTCTCGCGGAAACACTGCTCGAATAACCTTTCAATGACAGCTTGAAGCTGTTTCTGAACACCGCGCTGGACAACAAGCGTGAGTTCACTGGGATACGCACCGGTATCTTCGCCACCGGTTTCCAATGAAATTGAGTCCTTCCTTGAAAGGAGGGATTTAGATGGCAGGGCAGACTGAGAAAACGGAGTAATAGGGGAGGTAAGACCTGCGGAAGTGCTCGTCGCTCCATTTGTAGTGAGGGGAAATGATGTATTCAGGCGAGGAGTCTTGTTGGCAGTTTGGGCGGCATTCTGGGTTTTCGGGCTGGCAGATATCGAAATAAATGTGTCGATACATTTCGCTATAGGAGTGATTGTTAGCACACAACTTTCGTCATACGCAGAAAATACAGGGTGAAAAAGACGACTTACATATAATCGTCTCTTCAAACTCGCCACCGTGATCCAAATTTAATAGTTTGCCAGCACCGAGTGCAAACACCATGCTCTCGTTGTATTCCTGAAGGTGGTAATATACCTTGGAGGCAAGCAAAGCTGCCAGCTCACGTTCTGGGAAAGACTCATCTTCGTAGAGCGCCTCTCTTGTAAGATTCATCATCGTTAGCATATCTCTACAACCAAATCCATTTAGGGTCACGAAGTCATGCCTCAAAGCAGGACATACGGCGAGTTACGCAGTGTTGTACTCACATTCGGTCAATCGAATCGGCAATTTCAGTCCAGAGTAGGTCGACTTGTGCATCCAAAGCTTTGAGTGCAAAAATCTTCAGCTCAGGATCGGGTTCCGAGAGAAAGCCGACCAAGCCGTCAGCGGAAACAAGCCCGACCATAGTGTCCAGAGAAGCTCCGTTCAAGTATTTGTCAACGACAGGGCGCCCGGTTGAAGAATGGGATGTGTTGAAGGAGGCTTGCGAAGGGAGCCCAATATAAGCAGGGGTCAGGTCAAAGTGAGAGACAACCCAGAGTTAACGGAAGAATAGAATACAAGCCAGGAACGAAATGTGAAGGCTAGCAACAAAGGCCTGGGCAGGAGACAAATGTAGAATGTGGTGTTGGAGAGGTGGATGTTGGTGATATTTTTGTTGTCGCCAGCGTCTTGAACCAAAGCTGACCAATCCGGCCTAGGATGTGTCGTGGTTCCTGTTGGAACTAGCTAAAGACTCACGTGGATAAGCTGGTTGCTGGCTGCCTTACCCAGAGATGCAGACTAGCCGTAAGTAGATACGAGCTCTAGACAGACAAGGACTCGTGGACATCCGAAGCCATAGAGAGCCTGAGAATGATAGGTGGCTGTCAGGTGGGTAATAAGAAGGCAGCGTGATGAGAAAACACAAAGGATGAGATAACAAGCCCGCAGACAAAGTATGCTTTTTGTTTCTTGCATAGTTATGCCAACTCGCAATCTAACCGTTCAGTTCAAGTTTTGTTGACACCGGAATAAACAATTCATATCCCTGATTCCCTCTCTTCCGGTTCTATTCCTGTGCCATATTCTACTTCTACGGCGTTGCAATGGTGATGTCGATACTCCTGCCATACGACAGCGGCCAGGAACGGCTTGTACCTCTTCCTCCAGATGTCGCCGTTCATCACTATGATTCCTTCTTGCACATAGAACGCCAATCAAGACAGCTCCAGCGAGATCTCCAGACACTTCTAGATGCTCAAAGCACAGGACTAGCTGCTGGTCTCTCCAGACCCACGGGAGACGATACCACGTCAAATGGCAGCCTGACTCCGACTCCTACGCCTACCCAACTCGGTAGCAACCCTCGGAATACTATCACCATACCCGTACGCCAGCCATTGCAAAAGAAAATCGGTCTCCGAGGTGCAAGACGTGGGATTCTAAAAGCCATGCATGCATTACTAAGTCTAAAGGAAGAGGAGCGACGACTCATTGACTCCGAGCTGAAGAATAGGAGACTAGCAGTGAAGGAAGTGGAAACCTTCGTGAATAAGCAGAGTGGCCTTGAAAATGCTATAGCGGAAATCCAAACGAATGATGGATCACTAAGAGCAGAAAATTTGATAAGGGAGGCTCGCACGCTGGAAACAGATATTCGAGACCTGGAGTCAAAGTTACTGCAAATGAAAGTGCGGCATCGTCATGTCCTCAACGAAGTCTCCCAAATTCAAAACTCCGTAGACGCCCAATTATCGTCGTACAAGGCCTCGTTGGCATTAGTCCAAACGGATGTGAATAACTATCTACGGTCCCCTCCGATACGACCGCTTGTGCCTCCCACTGCTACTCCCCCACCGTTTTACGCTCTAAATCCCGATCGCAGGACTCTTGAAATGGCGAAAGAGCAATGGATAATGGAGCAGAATGAGCTAAGGAGTAAACGACGGAAAGCAGACCTTGAGATCGAGGCTTTAAAGGAAGGAGGCGGGGTCTGGCAGAAAGTGGTATCAAATATATCCAGCTTTGAGAAATTATTACAGCGAGAAATGCGGAGCCTGCAGCAGGGATCACAATTTCGAGAATCTAGAGACGAGGAATCAAATATAGCCAAGAGGCGAACTGTTCTGGATGAACTGGACGACACGACCTCACAACTGGAAACGAGCTTACAGCTAGCGGAGCAGAAAAGTTGGGAATTTGCTCATCTGTTGCATTGGCGCGGAACTTGAAGCTTTCCGGGAAGCGAAGCCGTTGCTGCTGGAATCTTTCTCGGCGTTTAACAAGACTAAAGATAAAAACCCGGGTTTATCAAAGGAAAGCGTAGAACTTAGCCTGCATTCTCCAGAAAACACATCAGCAGCGGCTTGTGGGAAAATACAGGAGCCAAAGGAGCCATTTTCAATTTCAAAAGAGAAAACCGCAACGCAATCACCGCATTCTCTAATACAATCAAGCAGATCCGAAGAAGACGATGAGCCTGACCCAGCTTGGCTACTTTCCTAATAGAGATTTTGAGCAGTATAACAATTCTCAGTAGCCCTCTTTTCTCTCTATCTTTTCATACATATGGTAGATAGCAACGATTTTGGATGATCTAATCGTTTTTGGGTATTGTCAAATATTTTTGTCTGATTTTTGAACAACCTTTCAAAGGGATATCCAAGATGGAAACTCATCATATAGATCTGGTTCAACTTCACAATATATCACTCTCTCAATCTTGTAGAATTTGATAAATCAGACAACTCTAGTTGTGCACTTTGTTGATCCTCATATTGTCTTTACGCCACCTTTGCTAGTCTCATCTGTTACTTGTAACTATGACACCGCCACTGTATCCCAACTCAAACATTTGCTGTTTTGTCATCCTTTCTTGAATGACATGATATTTTTTGTCCATCCAGCTGGCAACATTTTCATGACTTCTAGCCCAAATAAGCACTACAAAGTCCGGAGTTCAGATTTGTGACTGACACAAACTCCAGCATCAGGGCTTGCTGCTGGGACATCCATCCAGATAATTCTGCATGAGATTCTGAAAACCATGGGTCCCTTGCCGCAATCCCAGCCGCAGCCGTTACGCAGCTTCACAATACCGTCTGTCTACGATGGCACCCGGCTTGACTGTCGTCTCTTTCACCCCCATCACCTCTCACAACTCGAGAGCGGTTCGTCGTGGAGAAGCAAGGGCGCCATCGTGGCACATCCATATGCCCCTATTGGGGGTAATTATGATAACCCCATTGTTTGCGGTATCGCAAGCGAGCTCTTGAAGGTGGGATATATCGTGGTGACATTTAATTTTAGGTAGGTCTGCAAGTGTTACATCCCTCTTCGTATACATATACTTCTCTTTTGTAGGATACGAGTCCGTGGGTTGATTTTATAAATATATATATATATATATATATGTGCAAATACAGAGGCGCTTCCGAATCTGCTGGAAGGACGAGCTGGTCAGCTCGGCCCAGAATTGGGCGATTATGTCTCCGTCTATGGGTTTCTAATTCACTACCTTATCGGAATCGATCCCGATTCCTTACGGGATTCATTGGCTGAATCGTGGAATCAACGGCCTTCTCCTGTAGTTGATAATCCGGAATCTACGGATGAATCTGAAAGGATGGGGATCGTTTTGGCTGGTTACTCTTACGGCTCTATGATCGCATCTCATCTGCCATCCATAGAGATTGTTTTACGCCTGTTCGCCGCGCCTGTGGCGGGTTCTTCGAGTGCGGAAATTTTACAACAGGCCGAAGACTTATCTACGCTTTGGAATCTTGAGGCAAGGTCAGAATTGTCATCACAAACACCGACTCTAAAAAGCACTAGTACCAGTGGTGGTGATGGAAAGTCGTCCTGGTGTGTTTCCATGGGCAGCAGCACAGGCCTCAGTGGGAAGAAGTCAAGTATGGAGAGGGCCGCGGCCATCAGACAGAGTATTAAACTGTCTCGAAAGAGATTGAGAGCCAGATTTTTAGGTGGCCATGGGTTGGAAGATCAAGTAACGGACGCTAGTGCTAATGTCGCCAACGGAGTTAAAGAGATTGCACGAAACATGCTAACACCAACTGTTTCGTTTCTGCTGGTCTCCCCGGTCATCCCTCCTATCACGAACTTCATGACACTTTCTCTCTTCGGTTCTCAAATCAATCTCGGCGTCACTCTCGAAGGCATGCTGGTCAAGTCGATCCCACCGGAGGAGCAACTTACGACGCACCGCACTTTGGCTGTATTCGGCAACAATGATTTGTTCGCATCAGCGAAGAGGTTACGGAAATGGGCTCTAGATCTTAGGAAGATTCTAGGCTCGATGTTTGAGTTCGTGGAGATTGACAGGGCAGGTCACTTCTGGCTTGAGGAAGGGACTGAGGCTCAAATGAGAACTGCAGTAAGGGAGTGGGCTCGTAGCAGTAGTCGTGGTGATTGCGTTAATGAGACGCCGCCCCATTTATAGTGATAAGGGATCCTCTCAAAAGTTTTGATTAGCACTAAGAATTTAAGTTGTAATATTGTAACTGGCATTAAGTATTTCCATTCCATGCCCTATCAAGAGTTACAGCTGAGTTCTAAGGGGGTTATTGTCTGTGGCACCTGAATAAACCACTACAGCTTAACTACTCCGTAAAGATAGCCTAAATCTCAAGGTGTTTGGGAATGAAGATCCTTGAAAATGGTTAAAATATTAGAGCTTAAATTCGAGTACTAGTATATATGCAATGAACTGCAAGTAGATGGCCTCAACAGCCTCCCCCAGCACAAACCACCCTTGGCGACGAAAGTTGCCTGGCCATTCCGATGTCCGCTATCCAGATGTATTCCATGTTCTGGAAATCGTTCCTCTTTCTCTTTACCCATCTACCATACTTGAGTGCAGGAGCTGCAGGAGCAAGGATGGACATCAGAGATGTTGACTAACCATGTGGCGATTTGATGCTCAAGTACTCCCATGTACCAACTTCCAACATCTTCACACCTCTTTCGGCAGGAAGGTACCTCGAACTACTTCCAAGACTTCGAGCGAGATCTGTGAAGTCTTATAGGCTGGCCGCACTAGCCCTTAGAGGAAGGAAATTTTGCCGCATGACATAACCACCAGATACAGAAATGCAACAAGTTCTCGTCAGCAGACGATGGCCTCAATTCCTGATATCTTTATTCCGACTACCTAAGCATGATTTGCCAAAACTAAATACTCTCCTTTTCGTCGCCGGATGGGTTCGCTGAGCGGTTCGCGTTTCCCTGTTTGAACATATGCATTGAACCCCAGGTCGCTTTTTGGATAATAACTCGCGCTGTCATGCCGCACTTAAGAGATCAAGCGCTTGTTTCAATCTCATGCCAGCGGCAAAACCGATTACCAATCTCCCTAACGACAAATCCTCGACCGGGACAGGACATTTCCTACCTGCGGAAACTCACCGCCAACTCACTGTTTTCCTTCGTCTGGTCCTCCGTGTCGCGAGCTGGAGCTGCCATATTGAATCTCAGGGCTAAGCCTGCGAAGGCGGAGGAGTTAAGAATCAAAGAGAGAAAACACGTACTTTCCCTGAGACTTCGCGATGTAAGCATTACTCTAACCTCTCCGCCAATTCTGGGGCTTTCCCTCTGACTTTTTTGGGCGCAGGCTACTACACTTCACGATTGGTTGGAGATTGCGGGGAAGCTTGATGAACTAGATGGTAACAATGACTGGAAGGCGACTTTTGAATGTGACGAATATGACCCGATGCTTGTTCAACGGAGGCTATCTCAGCTCGAGAAGGCCCAGCATAGTTGTGACGCAGCGGCTATGATCCATATTATCCGTACCTCCCTCAGTCGCGATCTTGGAGGGATGACAAATAAGAATATATATAAGCATTCACGGATCGGGACGAAGAATCTGATAGATCAGTATATCACGACTGCTGCTGAAACGCTATCGACTTTATTGGATGTGTCGCGAAAGTATGATTTCGATGGCTCCGAGTCGAGATATTTGTTGGAACAGCTCCTCGCGGCTCGTCAAGCCTTTGGTCGAAGTGCACTTCTACTTTCAGGGGGCGCCACCTTTGGCATGAATCATATCGGTGTTGCGAAAGCACTTTGGGAGACACGATTGTTGCCACGCATTATCTCTGGTTCCTCGGCGGGTAGTATTGTTGGTGCGGTTCTGTGCGTCTATACAGATGAGGAAATGCCTGAGATCCTTGCAAATGTTGGATATGGCGATTTTTCCGTGTTCAGTGACGATGATGATAGGTTGCAAGTATTTCAACGGTTGATGAGGTTTATTAAGCACGGCTCATTTTATGACATCGCGCACTTGACCCGAGTGATGAGGGACTTTTTGGGTGACGTGACATTCCAGGAGGCTTACAATAGGACAAGAAGGATTTTAAACATTGGGGTCTCTAATGCTGGTATTTACGAGTTGCCAAGATTGCTAAACTATATCACAGCCCCGAATGTTCTAATTTGGTCTGCAGTGTAGGTGTATATTTGTGTGTCTACGGTTGCCATATAAACTGACTTCTAGCAGGGCCACGTCTTGTTCCGTTCCGCTAATATTTTCGTCGTCATCCTTGATGGCGAAGGATCCGATCACTGGAGATGTGACGGAGTGGCACGATGCCCCTCATCGATGGATCGACGGCTCAGTTGACCATGATTTGCCAATGACACGTTTATCAGAAATGTTCAATGTCAACCATTTCATAGTTTCTCAGGTTAACCCACACGTTGTCCCTTTCATTCCACACGAAGAGACCTTCTTTTTCAGCGGTGTCGTGGAAAAGCAGCTGGAGTCCAGCTGGATGCAATATCTGACCGGGGTAGCAAGAGAGGAGGCATTGCATCGAATGCATATTCTTTCTGAAATCGGGGTATTTCCTAATATCCTAAGGAAGCTCAGATCCATTATGAGTCAAAGATATCACGGGGACATCAATATCCTTCCTCAGATTCCCTATGACGTTTTCCCAAATATCCTAAGAAATCCTACTTCGGAATTTATGGTACAAGCTTGCCTCTCTGGTGAACGAGCGACTTGGCCCAAACTAGGAAGGATAAGGAATCATTGTGCAGTTGAACTCGCCCTAGACTCTGCTGTCCAAACCATGCGAGCTAGAGTTATTTTCCGTGTCGACCGTGTCGATCCTCTGGTACGCACAGTCATTGCACGGACCCCAGATCAGTCCGCGCTTCATCAACGAAGAATTCGCGCTCAAAGGAGCTGTTCATTCGACGCAAAGGCTGGTGAAGTCTCACAGGCGATTCGGCGTCCTGCTCATAAACTCCGCAAATCTCGAAGTTCAGCGTCGCATGAGAATTTTGGCTTCGATATCACCTATTCACGAATACCCACAAAAGGGTTAGGCATCCGACCGCAGAAGCAGAAGTTGTCAATGATATCCACGTCCCAGAAAACCAGCAATAGCAGCCCTTTTACTCTTGGTTTAGAGCCAGAGGAGGACCAGTTGGACATTGAACTTCCTCAGAATTTTCGGCTCCCTGAACCTATTTTGCCGAACGAAACACCTTATTCGAACATGTCAGAATGGGCAAGTGCTAGTAGGACGCAAAGCCCCGCTCGGTCACGTCGTCCATCCAACGCACAGGTCTCAGCCACAATTCCAACCCCTTCGACGGTGGCGGCTACAGCAGTCCTGTCTGCAGCCGCATTACCCACACTCATCATGAGCTCTGGATCCGCGGCTGGTGCTACTTCCCCTTCAGAGTAATACCGACACACGTTTCGTCAGTCGTCAGATTCAAGCTACTAATGGTATGGTGGCAGCGTTTCGGATTGTCAATCTCCTTCGTTTGTGGAAGGGTCGGTATCAAGGGTCTGGAAAAGTACTACATTCCCACATTGTTAGCGCTGTGTTATTTTCCTTGCATGCGCGGACATCTCTGGAGGATTCGGATAGTCTTATGACAAGGCCATGCCGTAGTGTGTTGGAATGATCAGGTGGGAATGTGCTCCGAAGAGGGACAGTTATTACGTCTCGTCAAGAACCTATTTCATGTGAAGTACTGCCTTCCCACTTCCCCAACCGAAGCATTGTTTGAGAACTCCTCGTCGTTTGAGACGGACTAGATAGACATAATAAATGCTATATTTACTTTCTGTATATTGGTCCAATGTTAACTCCGATTGTATGTGCTTGCACTTATAGATACGGGATGTTCCTCGTCCGGATTAGCGCAAGAGATGGGGTAGGACATCTTTTATGAGCAGCTCAAGAAGAATTTCATTATCCTGAAAGTTCAGCCAAGGAAAGAGTGGAGCACAATTCAAAATATCCTATATAAATCTGCTATGAGAACAATTCACTGATGGATGAGTCCATAGGAAAGAGAAACTGCGGCTGCCATTAGGTACTACTAACTCTGAGACAACGATAGTTGCTTCATTGCCTTCCTTGTCATTCAAATCCCCCGAAGCTCGATTACAGGTAACTGAACAATACCTTATAGTTCATTTACCAAGAATTGCACGATATCATCATCCTCTTCTTCTTCATTTTAGATTTATGCAGTCGAGGAATTTGACATCTAGTTACCTGAGATAGCACAGGAATTTTCCTTATCCTGAACATCTAATATATGAAGTCAATTCAACACTCTAATACATACAATAGCAAATCAAGCCATCACAAATCAGTCACTTTCAAAATATATAGATATAGATTATTCAAACAGACAAACGATCCACGAAATATGCCCACTCATACCACGAGTCCCACGCCTACATTGGCAGGCAGATACAATTAACCAACCCTCTCCACCTCCATCAGAAACCAAAAACAGAAAAACACACATACGTATGTAGATATAAAGGCTGAAAAAGGTCAACAAAAGGATAAATAAAAGATAAAAACAATTGAGAAATCGATTCAACAGAGTTTTCATTGTTATATCAGACCCTCCAAGTATTTAATCAATTTTTTTTTAAAAAATATATATTTTGCATTTATTAACAGCAAATATCTTGTGATAGATTTCCATATTTACACAAACTGCTGCCCAGAGCAACGTAGGCTATTTTTGCCGTCACTTTGACAGGAGTGGTAATACGCTATGAACAAGAATTTCAGTGGGCATATCCATGGATCCCTTCCGGCTATTAGAGGAAGAACGTCCTCATAAACTGATCATGAATTTACTCAAAAATATCGCATGGAATACCCTCATCCGCAGCGAGGAGTCCGACTACAGTTGGAGACCGTAAGATGCAGGTATTGTTGACGCAGATCGTCTCGAATACAAGAGGAACAATAACGCCATAAATACAAATCGAGAATCATGGCAGTGGAAGGGTAAGTCGGCAGATTTTGTCAGTTGTTGTGGACTTGGGGGTGGTGAAGGTCCCTCGGTAGGTTTTGTATTGTGGCGGACGTATTTAAGATCGTTTAAAGATGCTCCCACAAATTCATCTAACTATATCTGTCCTCCAACTCCATAAAAGGTTTCCCCAAAGACGGTCAACCAGCCAACGGTTTGGAAACCGTAGGGGTGAAATGCAGTCTGGTACATAAAGATACCAATCATCATCCGTCACAATACTCTGTCCGTTTGACAATGTAGTGTATTCATAATAGTCAGGGTAGAAACCGCTATCCTCCCAATCAATAATCCCCGTCACAGCATAAGTACTAGTGTTGAGATCTTGCTTTACAATGATGTTTGATTTCTTCAGATCACCATGTGTAAACACTGATCGTTATAGAGTTTTGTTTTGCTCCTCCAGAAAGGAGCGAAGCAACTTGATGTAGCAGGGACTGGCACAATTCTTGGCAGAAAATTGCAGCTCAATCAAAGCCCTTTGCAGTAGTTATGCCTTTCTATGCAGAAATTTCCATGATGCGATAATCCTTGACTCCTTGCCCACCTACGCCTCCAAGCACAGGTCCATCATCTTGCCGAAAACTTCTGAGTTGAGAAAATATCAGGTCCAGTTCCTTCTGTAGAGATAATTTTGCTTCGTGAGATAAACTCAGCCACCCCTTGTCAAGAGTGACTCCCGGAATATATGACATGAACATAGCGCGGAGATTCCCAAGCATAACCAAACCATGGGGCTTGGGGATCGGAAGATCGCCAGCATGCTCAGCAAGATATTGGAGATTGTGATATTCAGTGAGGTCTCTGCTATCGGGGAAAACTTTGACCACAATTTCGTCGCTGCACTTGACCACAACCCCTCTAATTCTGAGTTCAAAGAGCATCTCAGAATGCAAAATCAGTGCTTTCAATGATGCCGCAAGAGAAGCTTCATAAGAATTGCTGTTCGTCTCCGAGTACTTTCGGGGAAGGGTCAAAGCCTGGTCGGAGAGCGGGTAAAGAATATTGGCGGTGTCAATGGCATCAAGTTTTTCCCGGACCCAGTCGCGAGGTTTCTCTGGCTGCTGCAGAGCCTTCGCGTTTTCATGTTTCCTCGGCATCGCCCATCTGTATCTGCGAGGATAATCTGAGGGGAAACGACCATGCAAGTCGATTTCGGGGTGAGCAATGACCTCATCATAGAGGCTGTTTATGGTCCGGAGGTTGTAGCGGCCAGCCTCAGAGAGTTCCTGATATTGGGCCCTTCGATGGGCACGCATATATGTAGCTCCAACAACTGATAGGAGATCTGCGGCGGGGTCCTTTTCGAGCGCTTCGTGGAAAGCTTGCATCAGGTCCCTGTTCATTTGCATAGCATCGGGCTTCTCAATGGTAAGAATCTTTGGTGCTTCAAGTCTGCTGCCATTGTTCGCTAGAAGGTCAAGTCACTGCTCTGGCTAAGGTGTTTGTTTATGAGAGATAGCACGAGATTCAGACAACTGAAAATTAAATTAAAGAGTGATCAATAATCAAGATCTAAAGCAAAGAAAAAACCTGGTCTTTCAATGCAGAAGATCAGAGAATGAGTCGACATTAGATGAAGCTGTGAAAACTGCCAATTGCAAAATAATATTGTGGCGGACGTAAAGGTTGCAAAAACAGATTTCCCCAGCCAGCTTTCTTTTTAGAGAAATAATATCAAAACCTATTCAATATCACATCAGTCACAGTGTATCTTAATTAAAACATTTTGTTTTGCTTAAAAACCTGCTATCCAGGCTATATAAGTTAGGGTTCATCACGTGTGGTGCTCCGCTTGCCAGCTCAATCACCACCAGCGGACGAATCACGCCAATCCTTTCAACATATTTCACCACTTCTCGGGACTCACAAACGCCCACAATAGTGGGGCTACTAACCATCACCTTTGATAGTAACCATCAGGCTGCTCCACAGGAGGTAGCAGAGTCGGACCTCGCAGCCCGACTTCTTGAGCTTTGGCATTGGGACATCGCTGATGCGTCCATTGGCGGTTAAGCATGAAAAATTTTAGTCGATTTGGCATGCCTCCAGTACTCCCCGGGTACTTTGAAAGGTCCAGATCTTCCCATTAGTTATGAGAGGAATTAAGTGTGTATAGGTATATGCACAGTGCATACATTATTTCTAGCAGCAGTCTAATGGTGTGCCCGAGCGGGTGATCTTCAGGAGTTTAATAGCTCCTTTGAACATAGATTCAGCCCTCTCAACTCAACAAGCCAACATACCAAACGGTACTATGACTGGAAACCTTTATAACTTTCTATTATAGTTGCTCACAAGCATGGTTAGGCTGCCTCATGTAACAACAATGTCATCAAATGGGCTTACTTGGAGCCATCGTTTCCTTCTGCTCCACAGCCTTGCGGGGTCCATCACAGATGAGGGGCATCATTTCCCCCCCTTTGTTCTGCGATTTCTCAACTAAACCCCACCTGGGTGAATACGAAAGTGAAACTAATCTCGCGGACTGCTGTTCCCCCTGCTGACTTCTGGATCGGAAAGCCCCGTCTCTCCTGATCACCTCTTCCCCATCACCCGTTTAAGATTCCTTGGCTATGTATGCCATGCTTAACCTCGGAAAACTGCCAGGGTCCCTGTAGCGTGAGGAAAGGGGGGGAAATGCAAGTTTGAACAACGTAATCGTGGGAAATCAGTTTGCAATTCCGCACCATGACGGAACTGCCTGATTCGTGATCCGTGAGTACACGGGGCCGGTTGATCCCTATGGCGAATGTTCTGTTGAAACAATTATTGGCTTCTGGGGTCAAAGCCCAGACTAGGGTGATCGACCGCGGGAACAATAATGGAGCCTTTGGTGGAGGGTAGGCCGCTTAGCGTTGAATGATATGGGTGGGATGCATTTGTTGTTAGTATGTGATGAGCAAATCAGAATCATGACCCCTCCCTGTTTGCCAGGTGTAGTTAGAATGGCGGCTGAGGGCGCTGATCCCTGGAAGGTATAAATTAACAAAGAGATTAAGTACCTGCACACTCTATCAGATTGCGACCTGACCCCTGGCATGAATAGTCACTGAGAAGACAAGCATTTATCTCACCTCCAGTTTACTGCGTAGGTGAACTAATATCCATTCAAGTAGGTTAAGTTATTTGATTCATGGTATATCTCTGGCTGTTCATTTCTCTGATTATTATGGCTAGCTTCGCATATGGTACCATCCGATTAACCTTATCGAGTCAGGAATCAACTGCACAGCACTTCTCGAAAATACAACGTAAAGGCTTGGAGACGAAGAGAAAACGGAAAATAGTCAAAATCACACGCAAATTCGGGCTTTTACATTTAGAAATGTAATCCTCTCCTAATACAAATCTGTAGTCCCTGAGTGGTTGTAATGGATGGTTTCTCCTAAGCTACCTTGGTCAGCCGCTAAAAAATGGGAAGCTAAAAGGAACACTGGAAGGTCAGAAACAATTGTGATCCGGTTTCACTTTTTCTGCACAGGGAATAGTTGCACGCATCTTCCTTTGGGCAGAACAATTTTGGAGCATTCCTCCACTTTGGGATTGGTTGGATCCGCCGCACATTCATTTATATAACTGTGCTTTTCGACTCTGAGTGTTAGGATGACATTAGTAAGTTGACGGATTTCCATTCCTTGTTTTTAATATCTTTGTCAAGTCGAATCGTAGGGGTAGGAGTGCATGTCAAAAAGAAGGATTGTTTGGCTTCAGAATGATGAAGTTATAAATCGCCAAGGCCTGATATTGCTAATCGCGTGATAGGTGTGGACAGCATTGGAGGATGTGGCTTGCAGTGGAAAGGAACATCCAATTATGCTAAGATTGGCCATGCACTCTGTATTTAAGAGTGTGGTTCTAGCATTCTGCGAATGGGCCTTGGGTTGAGGAAAATGCATATGGGTTCGAGAGCTGAAGCTTTCAAGAAGAGGAACGGCAGTGTTAGCCATCATGAATTACTGGATGTTGAGTTTGATTGTTTTTCTCTCGAAAATCATGTGGATGGTGGCGTGAATTTTCCAGTACATATGATGGTAAACGGTGGGGGCGGAAAGTTTGGATGACACATTCGTAAGTGGTGATTCCTCGTCCGGGTATGATGGCGGTTGCTTTTTGGCCTGTCGTTATAGTTTCTCATCGGTTATAGCGAAATTTTTTGGTTCGTAAACAGAGGATCAAATGTGGTGGAATGAGAAATATGAGCCACCGAAACGACTAATTTTCGCTCTTGTCAATGTATTGATGGTTGTGTTATTGCGCTCCGTACCGAGCAGAAGGCTGACCGTTCCCGCGAGAGTCGGTCTCTCCACATACTATTAAGAAATGACTAAAAAGCTTGTTGTTTGCATGCTCATTATAAATTTTCTCTGTAACCGTCGCAAATGCGGAGAGCAATGCCAGGATTCTGCAGGTTCAAGTGAAGGACCAGAATGACCAGGCTCCACGACCTTGCTGAAGTGGACGATGAGACTGTGACGGGGCTAATGCGTACCGAATTACAATTGGTGAAATTGGTGAAACTTGTTGGGACATGCACGGGATACGCGAATGAAAAAAAAAGTTATCTGGACTTTCCGTGGGGAACAATAATGATGATGACAGCCGATGGAAGTGCAGGGAGAACTGTTTTGTTTCAATCAACTTTTCCCCAACCCGATAAAACAACCAATCAAATTAGTGGATCTGGTCATCAAACACATTATGTTGGCAGTTGAGCTTCCTTTCCACGTCGGTACATAAATACCCGGGATAATTAAGCAGGGATATATTTCCCCTTTGGTGTGCATACATTCGGAGGGGGCAGATCGCGAGTCTGCATTCCAGAGAGTGGTGGCACACGTCTATCTATCTGCGGAGAATAGGCCAGAGTTAAGCGCTGTGCCGCCTGATCTAAATATTAGTGCCAGTTTTAATGACGAAAGGCAAAGTGTGGCCAACCAAGCCCACCAGAATTTCATTGGACTTGAAGATCGAGTTGTTGCGCTCTCTCTAGCACATTTTTACGCGTGTCAAACATCAACAGCATTTTCCAGTGTCGATCGTGCTGGGTGATCCGGGGGGGGGGGGATGAATCGCCAATCATAACAGAAACGCATAGTCTTGTCCACCATGGCCTACACCATGTAACATTAGAAATGCAGGATATCGGGACGATTGACTTTCCCGCAAGATGTCGGGAGGAGGAGCTCTGGAGGAAGCGGGAGAGTGGCAAACCGTCGTTCAGGAACTACAGAAACGACAGGTCAGCTCAGTATCGCCCATCCCATTATTGTGTGTATGCTTGAGGATAGAAGGGAACAGAAGGGAACAAAATCGAGTCCAACCTGGTTGGAGATGGGATGCACTGCATACACTGCACGTAGTACATCTGTAGACTGTGCTCCGTCAGATGCAGTCAAGGATGAGCCGGCAGGGGATTATGTAATTCCTATTGGCCCAGCTGGGGACGCTAACCCGCAAACGGCATCCGCACGGCCAGCCGCAAACAAACGCTGCAAACTGCCAATTGGAGCCTCCGTGGATCGTTGGCTTGTAGCCTTGGATCGTCCGCTATTCTGTCTGCTGCCAACATTTTTCCTCTTGTGTGCTTCCAAATCGCTGGTCCTCGCGCATTGTGCAAAATGGCTGCTGCATTTGCCTCCAAAACATTCTGTTTGGGCCTATCAGATGGCGCCCCCAGTCGGCGACCAGCCTGACTTTTGGCCCCCGCGGCTACCTGATCAAAAAGTCAGCCTCCCCAAAGACTTCAGATTCGAACTAGAACTAATAGTGTGGTGATGAACCATTCTGATGGGAAGTCTTGGGCAATTTCAACAGAAAATGTCATACGTACTCTTCATGGGGTTAGGCCTTGCATCTTGTCTCAGCTGCCGGATGCTTGTATGTATGGGTGGATGGCTCCGGTTGAGATCGCCTACACTTTCTTCTCCCTTCCCTGTCAAATGAGGGGCCTGCTGGCCCATCCAACGGCAACTGCTGAGAATGAATGCGTGCAGATACGTATTTAATTACCGAATTGATTCGGCCTCTGTCCCACTGGTAATTGTGTTGTTAAAGATTACCGAATTATGTATGGGATCATCGAAACGTCTTGTTAAGACCGAATACCCAGTTGTTTACTTCCTAACGCTAGGGGATTTGATACTTGAAAATTACACATTATTCAAGTTCTATGCATCCGGTCAATCACTCGCGATGGCTGATCAGTTTCCCGTGACCATTGGTCCGCGGACCCGCCCCCAGACACTTTTAACTAGGTGCCTTTGCTTTTTCTAAATATTGTAAGGACGGGCTCATTGACTTTACCCCTCTGCAACTAATCTTTCTATATTTGGGGATTTGGCCTCTTCTTTATCGCAGCAAACTTGCCTTTTTCCGACCTATTTACTTTAATTAGATCGAGACGGATGACTTAAACCTGGTTTCATCCAACTCCCAGGTAGGATTTGTATATCAGCAAACCCCTCCATAGCCAGCAAAGAAGCCAAGATTTGTCAGAATACTGTCTTCTTCTCGACTCTTGTGAAACCTCTTCCATCTCGACTTAAATCTTCTTTTTTTTCTGGTTTGCCTCTGTTCAAATTATTCTATGGCCCTTGTGGCTTGAATATTCCTCACGGCTCCGGAGTACCATTGTGGTGGTCCTGGCGTACCATACTTTCTCAGGCAGATCTTTCTTCTTGGACATGCTCAGGCAACCTGCGAATTCACCGCTCCATGCAGTATTTTAATGCCTAGCTCTGCCACTTGAACGGCGTGAGCTCGAGCTGTGAATAAAAAGAACGCGAACTTTTTTAAGGAAGGAAGAATACTCATTTTCGCCTTTCACCCCAAACATCGAAATCATCTCACTGTATATAGGGGATCCTAGGACACCCTCCTCTCCCTACCTTGGCGCAAAGCTTGATTATTTTCGCTAGCCTCCAGCCTCGTGGAATTAAATAGTCAATCCAAAATGCCACTCGCCTGGCTTCACGACTATCTAGAAAGGCGCAGAATCCGACGGAATGGAAATCGAAGGGTCCTTGACGAGCGATTTGGGGATCCAGATATTACCGCGCCGATGGCGGGTGGCTGGAACCAACTGCCAGTTGTTCAGACAACTTCTGCGAAACAAGTCTTGATGGGCGCTGAACAAGAGAGCAACGGAAAGGGATCGAATATCTGGATGAAATGCTGTTTTTGCGACCGCGAGGACGAAAAGGATATCCTATGCTCCAATCCTCAACTATCGTCAACTCCCACTGAGAAGGAGGGCTGTACCCCAAATCCGTCCGCGCGGAACTCCGGTGGTGCTGGCTTCGTCTACAAGCCTGCCAGCGAGGAATTTTTCAAAGAAATGGCTGGAATAGGCAAATCAAAGTCGTCGCCTACAATGCCCAATTCTAACGATTCCGAGAAGCACAGAAGTAAATTCTCCACCGTAAGCTGTGATCCAAGTTTTATGGACCCCGTCGCGTCGTCAGATTTCCCACATCACCCCTCATATCATAGCCAACCTCGGACAGCCTCATCTTCAAACACACCTGTTGGGTCCAGAAGTCCAAGTAGCACGCTCGTTTCCTCCGGCGACAGACATCTTTCCCAAACTAGCCCAGCCCTTTCTTTCTTAAACACACCAAGCACAGCGAAGCAGAGCTCTGCTGGCAGCATTTATTTAGAAACGGAGAAGACACCACTGGAACCGGTCAACGAACGACATCATACTCCCGTTCAGGTTCCCGTTCCCGTGCAGCCAACAGTGCCAACTAAGTCGAAGAATAATCGCAAGAACAAGAGAGCAGTTACAGAAGAGCTTGTTCCTTCGGATGAGGACCTATTTGGGTAATCACTTTTTTCAGGCTTGTTTTTCCTAGTTTAACTGGCTGGCTTAGGTTTTGATATATGTGGTCTTGTTTCGTCAGGAGACGATACCTTATGACATTGGGGTTGGAGATTTGTCTTACTTTCATGCCAACTAACCGCGAACTATGTATGGGCTATGTATGGTGCTGGTGGATTGGTTATAGATTTTATTTACCATGGTCTCTAGACCTATATTGTCTCTTGGTTGTTTCTTTTGTGTTCTTCGTTTATACCCCGGGAATATCCTGCAACCCCGAGCTTTCTTCTACCACTTTATTTTAGGCCATATATCTAACGGGTGGGAACTGTGTACGTCTTGGAGCATGGAGTTGGTTGCTTTTTGGGGGATGATTATTGGGTAAACAATTCTAGCATATTTGAGCGATGTATTTCCTGCTATGACTAACAGATTCATTCTGTGTGTGGATTAGCTTTACCTTTTGCACATCATTATCATTCACCATTATATTCATTGGATAAGCATCTATGTGGAAATTTTGGGAAATATCACGTTAATGGCATCATTTTGCGGCACAGTTGCTTACGCATTACCTCTGCCGCAACAATAAACAGCTAAACATCGGGATAGAACAAACGTCAAGCCGCTGTTTGACCACTCCTGCCCCATCCAACAGCTTAGCTTCATTTCTCTGTTAATTTTCTTTTTTCTTGGCCCCCGGAACAAGTTATCTCCATCTTTCTAGCTCCGTCTATGAGTTGTCCGAGAAGGGCGTGCATTTGGCCCCCAAGACCTTCGTTGCCGCCAATGGACATTCCCCCCCCAATGCTGGCCCGTTCGCTTCTTTTTTTTCCTTTTTTCGGGTTTTCCCTTTCTTTTCTTTTCCGTTTCCTTTCCTTTCCTTCGTTTTTTTTGTAGAGACCTTTTTCCGATATTTTTGTGATTGAAGAAAAGAGTTACCTAATATGCAGACCCAACCACCTCATAAAGTCCCTCGCTGGTGATGCGACATATTGCACAAATCGCAGCTTCTCCCCTTCCCTTTCTCGCCCGCTTCTCATCTTGTCATAACCACGTGTAGTTTAACCCAAGCTGTGGTTTGTGTGGAGCCCTATAATCCACCCCAACGAACGAATAGCTACTGCGTCGATTGATAGATAGATATTCGTAGATCTGCCCCCAGAGTACGGAGTATTTCGTTTACTAACGTTGAGCAGGGATTGAGTAATAAAATTATTAAGGGAACGAACCTGCTCTTGTCTCCTAGGTCGCTTCGGCCGCCATTGTCGATCCATGCATCTGCTTTCTTTTCTTCTTTCGATGAAGCTGGTCGAGGCAGGAGGAAGCCACCAACAGCGATAGATGAAAGGCTCCGCCAGGACTCAGGTATTGGGCTGATTGGGAGAGCAATAGTTAATATGCTAGCCTGGTGCATTTGGGGGCCGCGATGTTCGACCGCTTAGCCAGCCCAAAATTCAGGGCCGATGTGGCTGTTCGTATCTAGCTAGTTTCTCTGCCGCCACCTAACTTAGCCGGACGGGAGAGCTTTGAGCCTCACTCGCCAACTGCTTTTGTTCGGATTTTGACCAATTTGAGGATGCACCATAATACTCCGCGTATTAACTCGTGATTTGAACTCGTCCATTATCGAAATGGAGACAAAAGCCAGAAAATGCGGGGGACTCGGCGACCCAAATCCCCCCATTGTGGATGCATACAGTCTAACTAATTGCTTGGGTTCTTATGCCGCTCATATTGTCAACGCCTCATTTGCTTCATTATCAATGACTCGGACCTAGATTTGGCAAGGGACAATATGACTCGGAGGCCAGTTGCTTGTCCCTTGAAGTCAGCCTGTTCCAGACATTACTTAGGGATGCCTGAACCACGGAATCGGCGCCCGCTAATATCGTTCTGCTCCCCAACTTCCAGAGATAGGGAAACAAGGCCAAAATTGGGTTTGAAAAAGCCTACAAGGCTCACTTCACTCTGAGTTCTCCATTCTCACAGCTACGATGGCAATCATCCTGATGCCATTCATTGTCGTGAACACGTTGCAGCTTTGGACACTCCCCCGAATCCTCGGTACGCACACTTCAATGGATATGGGATTACTTTTCTGTTAATTTCCCATCTTGTGTGGGCGACTTTTTCCAAAGTAGCACACAACTTTTATGAGCTTCCAGGAGGCCAGATCCTCCCATTTTACTCCACTTTCATTGACCTGAGTCAATCATGCATTCCTTCAGTGTCCCCGCTGGTTGAATGGACTAAAACCTGCGGACCCAGTGTTAGTCTACGGTTGCCCCTGAAGGGTATTCCTCTGCCTCACCACAACCGAGGCAACACTGAAAAAATGATCGGGACACAGGGCGCAAACTTCGAACCGCGCTTATCGGCTATGTAATAAACCTCATTTTGTTAAGGTTTTAAACGGGTCCCAGTACCATTCCTTCATGGTGCCCTACCACTCCCACTAGGACGAATTCGCAAACTTGAGATACTTCACACTAAACTATCACCAGTCAGTGTGAATGCGGGGTGCGTGAAAAATGGGGACGTAGACCCACAGCTGATGAGGGGATTTATTGCTGGTTTTCTGGGGAATGACTGAGTGAAAAAGTGCTGCTTTGGTGGTAAGTAAAGAATTTTTAAGAGCCGAGAAAAAAATTCATGATTCATCGTAATTTTTCTCCTTTTTTTCCTCTCCTGCCCTTCTTTCTAGCCGCGAAATAAAGGACTGAGAATAATTCCCGTAGATACTTGGAAAATATCTGATCTGAATCCATCGGCTCATTCGAGGTTGTGTTCGGCATTGAAATTGCCGAGCCATCCTCAGAATAGCCGACGAACAAGCGAAGTTCTCCAACCACCACAACCTGAGACAGCCCCAAGCTCTCGGAAGACAACCCTCTGTTGATCATTGTGCAAGACCAAGAACTTGGAACAAATGCCATTCGAATTCCAGACTAATTACTCTAGCTTTCATCCTTCTCAGTATGTTGCCAATTGATTGGATTGACTGGGGCAATCCAATGCCGTGTTATCAGAAGACACCATAGGGATTGGCCCAATAAATCCACCTTCTTCATAGGATCGGGACTTATCGGTTGATGTAGCCATTCGGCTGGGAGCGATGACTCGCGCCTGCTCCCATGAAGACGCAGTTAACCTTATATATCTTGCTTTCAACCCCCAGGGGCAGCCCCTGTCCTTTATACTTCACTAGCAGAATCAACTTTTCTTCTTGTATGTGCATTTTTTGTTCCCAAAAGCCTCTCGATGTAATGGAGGCTAATCCTGCGACCCGTGCCGACCTAATCCCAGGTACAATTCACCTGGTTGACATTGCGAGCGAAACACAGTTGGAACAACATGACGAAAGCCAAAGGGACATTGTGCTCGTTCCTAGGCCAAGTGCGGACCCAGAAGACCCATTAAATTGGAGCCGGAAACGGAAATTGCTGCAAATCGCGATGGTCTACGTCTACACCCTTGGAGTCGGCATTCCAACCACGTTGCAATACAGCGTGCTCGCCGATATAACAAATGATACAGGAATTTCAACGGGAGAGCTTGTCACTGGAACTGGGCTTATGTTTCTATTTTTGGGATGGGCATGCTTGATCTGGCAACCGATCGCCCTCACATTTGGCCGCCGAGGTGTCTATATTTTGTCTTGCCTGCTCTGCGTACCGATCATGGTTTGGACAGCGTACTCGAAAACCGGAGGCGAATGGTACGCCCATCGGATACTTCTGGGCGCGTTCGCTTCACCTATTGAGTCTCTGCCAGAGATATCTGTTCCCGATATATTTTTCGCCCATGAGCGTGGCCAGTGGATGGCGACATATGTCCTGTTCCTATGTGGTTCGAACTTCATCGCGCCATTAATTGCTGGATGGTTTAATGACGCATTCGGCTGGCGGTGGACCATGCACCTCGGAGCCATGATATCGGCAGCTGCAGCCGTGATTTTATTCTTTGGCATGGAAGAGTCTCTCTATTTCCGTCCCACTGTGGAAGGGCAAGAACTCGATGCTGCCACAGTTTCTCAGTCCGAGCATCCTACCGTCACCCAGGTCAGCGACGAGAAAGCTGGTGCTGATAGCAATATCTCTGCAAATAACTCGATCATGCAGTCGGCTTCTTCTTTCCGCCCTCCCCGCACCTACATACAGAAAATGGCACTTTTCGTCTCCAAGCCCGGGCGACCCAGTAACAAAGAAATGTTTAAAATGATGTATCGGCCCCTCCTGATCATGTTACATTTCCCCTGCACCGATTGGTCTGGGTTCCTTTACGGTATCAGTCTTTCGTGGTATAACGTGATGAACGGTACAGCGTCTCCAGTTCTTTCCGCCGCGCCTTACAACTGGTCAGCGGCTAAAGTTGGTTCGGCATACGTCGCGCCGATTATTGGTGGAATCTTTAGTATGATATGGTCCGGTGTCATCGCAGACAAGTTTGCTATTTACCTTGCACGTCGCAACAAAGGGGTAAGAGAGCCGGAGCAACGCCTTTGGCCACTCGCTTTGACGGCGCTTATCACTACTAGTGGTCTCATTACTTGGGGTGTTGGTGCAGCTTATGGAGTCCATTGGATATGTCTAATGTTTGGAATGGGAAGGATGGCATTCGGTTTCATGACTGGTGGCTCTTCGCAATCTCTATAATGTCGATTGCTTTAAAGAGCTAAGTGGGGAAACCATGGTTTCCGTCACTATTATTCGGAATACGCTTGGGATTCGCTTTTAGTTATGGAATTACCCCTTGGGTGGAGACACAGGGCATGCGCAATTGTTTTATCACGGCGAGCATGGTAGCGCTGGTCTGTTCGCTGACTTTTTTGCCCATGATATACTTTGGAAAAAGGCTTCGCAAGTTTTCAAAGGACATGTATTGGCAGTATGTGTCCACTAGCGCGTTTGGTGGCCATTGATACGGTTAAAATGATCTGAGGAGAAAGCCGATCTGGGATATTTCTCTACCGACATGCACTCATCAATACTAGTAATAATGTATGTTCTAGATGGTTTCACCCCTTCTCGTGTCATAAGATGATGGAGATGAATTGCTGGTCTTTGCGGGCATCAGGGTTGCCACCATTGTATATATATATATATATAAAATACTATTGATTTTCTATAAAAGCCCATACCCTGTACATAGTTAAACACTTAATTACTGAATTTTCATTGGGGTCGCGGCCAGCACTCTGTATACAATATTTGGAAACATCATCTTCCGAATGCCACACCACCGAACAAACACTCCGTAATCTTATTGGAGGATAAATCACCAACTTCTAAAAGAAAAATGGCGTGCGGGAGGGATTTCCTTCACCAGTCACATGACAACAACTCTGACGACTCTCCGGGCCTTGACTCGCAGCTTTTGGCCCGCAAGCACAGTGCAGTACTTTACAGATAGTTTAGCGGTGAGATCCTGCTAGTAGGAGCCTTGGTGCCTTGTCGACCATCCGGATATATACCCCGCTTGAGATCAAGTGCTTGTGTGATTGAAGAGCCTTTGCCGCTCCGAAACTCCCCTGTTTGTGGATTCATCCAGTCAGAAGTCGGAAGGTAGGTGGGCAAGGGTACTTTTTATTTCAAACCAGGAAGAAAATTAGCACACTGAGTAATTCAATCTTTTGATTCTGTCATAAGTCTTGATCTACTGCGTAGGGTCACATAGTTTTGGCAACCCAGTAAACCGGGGGTTATCACAGTCTTTTGTATGGGCTAACCAGCTTATGAGACTTGGATAACGTCCAATGCCCCTAGATTGTGAGCGCGGGGATTGAGTCTAGCGGGGTAGCTCTTCACAATTGCTCCAATTGCAGTGACCAAGTTGCGAAAGCGGAAGGGAAAACACAGGATCCCCAACACAATTGATTATCCGGTAACTTAACCCGTTGGTTCGACGGGATGAAAATACTTCCCCATGTAAAAAACAAAGTATATCTCTTGTCGCGGTTGAAACGTCGTTGAAGAATATCACTGTCGTTTGTAAATGTGTGTGTAGTCCCATCCATGGATGTTTATTTACAAGGGCAGGACAGAGCACAAGTTGCGTTTCTACCGCGGCAAAACAGGGCCTTTCTCCAGGCCAAATTCCCCGGTGAAAAAAGTGGCAAGTTGGCTATTGCTGCGGGCTCAGGGGGACATAACCATTGCTGCAGCGAGAAAAATTCAAGTTTGTTTGATTACTGCTGCTTTGAGAGCGATTGCTTGCGCAAAAGATCTATGGGCACTGTGCATTCATTCCTTCCGAGGAGACATCACTCCTGAGTTTGGTGGTGAAAAGATTCTTGTCCTGAATGCTTCAGGGGTAGTATCATGGGTGTTGCTAGTTCATGTCGACAGAAGAAACAGAAACCTCCCCAGGAGTGCAGCCGAAACCCTGCCGGTGTCGGGATTTATTGAGCAGGTTTGGGTTGTTCAATGTGCGAAGTTCTCTCGTCCACTCAAAGCGAGAGAGCCTTGGGTGCGATGTGAACAACGATGAGCTAGAGGCAGCGTAGTGGCGAATGGGAGTTCATTATCTGCTGGTGAGGTTATTCCAGCCTCGCCCTCCAACTTGGTGGTCAGAGAATCATCCACGATGCGGGCAATGGCGCCATCACACTGCGATGCACGCCAACTTTCCAAGACGCTTGTGCACAGTCTTCACGCTGCTTGGCCGTCGTAAATCGTGATTCGACATGTCGGAAAGGACTCCCGCGACTGATCCAGGGCAACCTGCCAATCACATCTCCATTGCCAGACTCGCATCCTTCATGCAATCATGGCTGGCCATGTCACTCACCCAGATCACTACTACGCTGTAGTATGGACATCCATGGAGTTGCCCAAGAATGTCCGAAGTCTGCAGTCTGTAGTCTCATCCGATTTTGATCAATTTGTTTTCATCCGCATTTCAGGCGCTACAGAAACCCCGCCTACAAGGGCGGTTTCTTAGGAGCTGTTGGCGGAAAAAGCTTGATGTGGTGTGCCTATGGTGCCATTTGGTGTTTGGTGAAGGGCAAGCCAGCTCCCTCAGTACTCCGTAATGACAATGGGCTTTCTGTTCACACGCCCGACCGCCGAAGCACACATCCATCACGGCCCTGCAAGCCACAGTGGTTGGTAAGGCCTGTTGTGGGGAACGAATGCTGTTAGATCAGCAACTCTCCCTGTTCACAACTCGAATCAGAGCTTTAACCAAAAGTTTCCAACCAGATGGCGATTTATGGGCCGCATTTCCCATTCGACATATGCGTCAAAGAATCCCTTCATCTCAATTCCAGTATTTGCCTTGCAGCAGCGGCGCATGTAGATGCGAGACAGCCCTTTTTTTGCGCATCTTGTATGACAACATTTGTACTCCTTCAACCTTTCCGAATGATTTCGTTCTCCCACCTTAAGGGAAGTCCACCTCTAATACGGGACAATTCTGGTGTTTATTACCTTGACTTTATTTTCCTTGCTTCCAATCAGTCCGCGATTAGAAGGAGACTCTGCCCAGCTGCTGGTCATATATCTTTGTGGAGATGCTCACACCCCTTGCATTCTACTTCACTCTTGCAAAATATCTTGAACACCTCCCTGCTTGCGGCATCTGGCTGCCTCAGCAGAGGGCAAAAGGGCACTTGGTCGGAAAGTAGGCCGTCTTCTTTCAAAAGACTCGGGCTGTTGCTGCGGGCTGCAAGATTCGGTTTATGCGAAGCTCCCACTTGGCCAACATCATTTCTTTCGTGCTGCATTTACGATATTGATTGAGCAAATTCCACAACCATGTTTCTTTCTTCCCTGATCTTGTCGCTTCTCTTGACCCGCGAAGGATTCGGATTACTGGTTACAAACGGATCTCCATGTCAATCGTCCTGCCACACGACGTCTTTTAACACTACTCCAGATGCTGTCGTATGTCAAGATCAAGAATACAACTCCCCACCCGGAACTTATTTCCAGGAATGTGTAAAGTGTGAACTACGAAGCACTTTCTTCCGTCCACGTTCCTTCGAGACGTATGACACGGATGTTAAATGGGGATTGTGTATGCATAAACCAGCATTAGTAACGACTGCACCATGGCCATCGCTGACGATATTATAGACAACCTCCGTTATCTGCTTTCAGCATGTATATTCAATTTTCCAGAAAAAAAGGCAGATTCTGTGTCCAGTCCGTGCCAGGTGACGTGCGACCCTCTTTGGGGGAGGCCATCAAAG